CACGGGTGTACTCACTGCTCCATTGCTAATGACACACGGGTGTACTCGCTGCTCACCCCAACTGCTCCAACGTTCAGAATTGCCGTGCTGCCCACTGTAAGCTAATTGTTACAGTAGTGCCCTCTGCTGTCTGACAGCATAAATGTACGTCCGAAGAATAGTTTTCCTAGTCTCACGTATTTCAAACTTTGTTCCCATAAGTCATTTCTGTTTAAAAAGACAAAGATACAGTAATATTCTGTTGCTTTGTTAATGTACAAGTCTTCTAAAAACTAAACAAAATATCCCTCTGCAATGGTATCAGCATAAATGCCTGTCATTTTTCTACATCAACTTCTGATTTATACAAGAGAAGGAAAATACAGATGATTTTAGGTGTATTCTGAGAACTTCTGAGTACTCCAGCATTCAGTACTTACTGAGATATTTCTGTAGGCCCAAGCACAAGAGCTACTTTGAAGGCGGAACCTCCTCCCTTTTTGGGAGCACCTTTGTAGTGCTGCTGTTGATCTTGCCATTTTGCTTTCTAGGCTGGGGTTTGTTCTGTAGATATGATCTAGCCATATTTAGAAAAACAGGCACCATCAGTCCCACTGGTTTGTAACTGTAAGCAAGAGACAGTAACCAACTTGATTCTGTTGTCCTCCAATCAAGATTTAAAACTGTACGTTAAGGGATTATTAAACATAAAACTGAAGGAGTCCATATAAAGAAGGATCTTTCATTATTTTACAGAGTAATATTTCTAAGAACAGAATTGCAGGTTATGTGGCTAGGTTAGTGACAGAAATAAGGAATCTCCAGCTTAATGTCAGCATTTTTGTCCATTGCTTGTGTAGGTCTGAGTAGGGGCAATTAGAGGGATTAAAATTGGAGATCTCTAAATGCCTGAACCAAATTTTGTTCTTGATAAAGGTTGCTTTAAGCAGATTGATTCTATAGTAGTAAATGTGTTTTCCAATTTTAGCTATCCTAGCAACTGAAGTGCTCTGAGTTGGTAACCCAAATATTTAAAAACACAAGTGGTTAAAGATTAATCCACTGTCATGACGATGATGTGCCAATAGAAGCTGTGTTTGAAGACTCATGTTTTGATTGAAAAACAAGGTGACAGTAGCACTCAAGTAGTACAGCCTCTTACGGAATAGGAGATGTTCGAAGCAAATGGTTACCGGTTGAATCTAGGATTTTCCACCATGAATGGATACTCAAACTGTTCTGCTAACCATACGGAAATTTGGAGTCGTAATTTAGTGCTTGCGCTGGGCATCCCTCAGCTGACCATTAACATAGCATCTGTGATCTTCAACTGCACAGCCATCATCACCAGAAAAGCAACAAAAGATCTGCACAAGCCTATCTCTATACTCTTCTGCAATTTGGCTTTTTCTGATCTCTTCACAAGTTTTTCTGGTTTTTGGATTTCAGTGCTGTTCATCACCAAACCTGATGACACAATCTTTGGATCCAAGGATATGCTTGCACCTTATGCCTTATATACTACATCTATTTTATCCACCATCTATAACTTGGTAAGCATTGGAATTGAACGCTACCTGGCTGTGGCTGAAAGCATTAGGACAAGGTTCAGGGTTGCTAGAAACCATTCCATAGCTGTAGTTTTAATTAACTGGGTCCTTGCTTTCTTTCTGGGCTGCCTGCCATTGATGGGGTGGAACTGCTTGCACACAGGAAAAAATCTCTCAGTCCTCTACAGTCCATTTTGTGTTGACTACCTCATCTTCATCACCACTCCCAATGTTGTGGCAGCTTTTATTGTTCCTCTGTTCACCTACCTTAGAATCATTATGATCCTGAGGAAAAGAAAGCTGAGAATGAAAGCGTGTGGGCAAGCTATTGGTACCTACAAATCAGCTGAAATCCAGGTTGCCAGAACTAGTATTTTTATATGGCTCCTGGCATTGGTGTCCTACGCTCCTCTTTTTGCAGGAGTCATCTTTGATGCAATAAACCACCAGTGCCCCCTCGATCTCTATCCAAGCGTCTACATCTTCCGAAACTGCACAGCTATGCTGATAACCATGAACTGTTTGGGAAATCCCATCATATATACACTGAAAACCAAAACCCTAGGGGCTAAACTCAAGTCTCTGAAATGCCTTTCTGGCAAACGTCTCCAAGCCTGCACCATCGCGAACATCTAACCGCGGCCGCCCCTGTACTCCGTGGACTCTGTTCTGCTTCCAGGGCAGCAGGAGCGCCCCGAAGCGAAGGCCGAGCCCTCCGCCGGCTGCGGCGCTTCAGCACCCGCGGCGGGGACAGCTCCGGGCCGGCTGCGGGCGGGGCGCCGCGCGGGGCTCCTCGGCGAGCTGCGCTGCTGTGCGGATGGGAGACGGGAGCGTGCTGCTTGGGAACACCCCGTCAGCTGTGTTTGCTTCGCGTTTGGAAATCCGCTTCTGACGTGCTTTCTTTGCTGCTCAGATTGTGGCTTTTTTGTTTTTTGGTTTTTTTTTTTTTTGGAAGGTGGATAAGTGGCTGGAAAATGTTCAGTTGCGTAGGGGAAAATGTAACGTTACTTTCTCATTTGCAGCATGTAACATCGTATCTGTTAGTATTTGATGAATCAGTTATTGGGGCATCCAGCGCAGTTTTTCTGTTGTCGGTGTATCTGCAGTGTTTCTGTGGGAGCTCTGTGACCACACGTTTTGTGTCCCTGCTTGAGAATGGCAGTACGCTCGTATACTGTGGCCACTGACATTTGATTTGATTTAGGAGAAAACCTCAATGGAGGCTTCATTGTCAGAACTGTAGTCATGGCATAAAGCAAAATGAAATAAAAACTTCAAGAGCACGTGTTTTGTAGAAGGAAAAGGTCTCCCCTCCCTCCCTCTCTCCGAAGAGGAAATGTCTGTTGCTTAATTAACTGGTCAGATCCTGGGCTAAATGAATGCTTACATCGAATGACACGGAGATGTTGCCTAGGAGGGTCTCAACGGCCCAGTTTGTTCTCCCACCTCGCCCATAGTGACAAACCTGGAGGCGATGACCAATAGACCCAAGTGACACTCGTTCATCGTTAAATGCTGCTGCTGTTAAATCGTGTTCAGAGGAGCTGCTGTGCAGCGCCTGTGAGGAATGGAGTTTATGTGAGAGACGGCCGCCCGCTGGTGTAACAGGGAGGCGGGTGCCGTTACATTAACAAACCATGTACCCAGCATTTTACATCATTGCCTTAAAACCTCTTTCCTGTTTTCTTTACCCCACAGAGCTCAGGGAGATCGCGGTCAGCTCTGTGACCCCGTTTAGGGACGTGCTTAGTGATCACGGTGGGGATGGACTCGGTGATTTCCAGCCGGAACGATTCGATGTTTTTTTTTCTCCTGACCCGCGCACGATCACCCCGAACCGCCGCCCCTTCCCACCGCCGCTGTTCCGCTCCCGGCCGTCCCCGCTCGGCGCTCTGCTACCCGGCCTGAGCGGGGCGGGGCAGGGCGCTGCGGGCGGCCATGCGGGCGGCTCGGCCGTGCGCGGTGTGCGGGGCGGACGGCGCCTCCAAATACCGCTGTCCGCGCTGCGCTGCCGCATAGTGAGCGATGGGCGGGAGGGGGGGCGGCGGCGGCGGCGTGGGGGGGGGAGCGGGGCTGCGGACCGAAGGGCGGGGGGCTGCGGGCCGCCTCTCTGAGGGGCCTGCCGGCCTAATGGCGGCTATCATCCCGCAGCTGCTCCGTGCCGTGCTGCAAGGCGCACAGAGGTGAGTGAGTGAGCGAGCGGCGCAGTGCGGTGCGGTGCGGTGGGCCGGGCGGCCGTGACGGGCCTTGTCCCTTATCGCAGAGCGATGCGCGCCGCAGAGGGAACCGCCGGCAGAGGAACGGGCGGCGCAGCGCGGCTCTCCTGCGGACGGCGCGTGGTCGGTGGCCGACATACTGACAGAGGAGGACGAGCAGGACCGCGTCCCGCTGCAGAAACTCCGGCTGCTGGGTGAGCCGGGGGGCGGCGGGGGCCTCGAACAGGCGGGACGTTATGGCGCTGACAGCCACCGCTCGGTGCCTCTTTGGGGGTGCGCCGGCAAAGTAGGGATGGTTATGGCGTCGTTTGTGACTGCGCGTAGTGAGCAGTGAGGAATCATGGAATAGTCCCACCCGGAGCGGACCCACAGGGAGCTTTGAGTCCCAGCCCTGGCTCCACACAGCACTGCCCAAACCCTGTGTCACGACTGTGTCCCAGCGCCCTGTGAGCCCCAGCGGCTCAGGGCTGTGCCTGCTGCCCTGGGCAGTCTGTTCCCTGCCTCTAGGGAGGACCCTGCCCTGATACCGACTTGAGATCGTGTGCTGGTGGAGGAAATGCATAAAAACAGAAAGCGAGGATTTAGTTTGTGATCAGTGCTGTATCCATGCTTGGTTATCACAAGAGCGTGACCTCATAGATTTTGCTCCAAAGTGGGATTTGCTGTGGATTTCATGCAGATGCAGGGATTAATCCTCTGATTTGGTTCTGACAGAGGAAAGGGCTTCTGCCTTCTCTGGCTTGAGGGCTGAACTGCATCACTTAACAGAAACCAAATCCTTTACAGTGGGGACTTCAGGTGAACATGATACTCATTATCTTTTATCCTTGTCTTTAAAGGAGAATCAGAAGAACTGAGAGGTTTGCTGCTGAACCCACACCTCAGGCAGCTGCTGCTGACCATTGACCAAGCAGAAGACAAAAGCTCTCTCATGAAAAAATACATGCAGGAGCCACTCTTTGTGGAGTTTGCAGATTGCTGCTTGAGGATTGTGGAACCCCCAGAGAAGGAGAACATTCTTCCTGAGTGAGCTTGGGAATATTTTTTGTTCCTTCAGGTTTTCCTCTTACAAAAGCCATTCTGCAGCACCCCACGGTGCACTGTGCCATGTATTACCCCCAGTTCAGTTGCTCATGAATGTCAGCACTCCAATTTTCATTTTAGAGTTGATAAATAATGACGTGGTGCTGGACAAATTTCTAGATGCTAGGAATTGAATTTGGTATTATGTGGACTTGCCCTCTGTTGGTACAGAAATACTGTCACCTGTGGGAAATATCACTTCCCAGTAACAATTATATTAAATATACTGGCATTTGTCTTAACTCACAAAATGAACCTGAAATGCTTTTGTTGACCTTGTTGAGGATAGTCATACGCCTTCACAAGATACTTAAGAGTTTATTTAGATATGGCATACACAGAAAAACTGAACATTTTCAAGACCCACGTACGTAACAGAGGTGGTATAGTGTGCCCTGATGAGAACCTTGGTCCCTCTGCAGAGGTAATGCTGTTGGCTAGGTCATGTTAGAAACACACAGATCACAATGTATTTTGGTCCTGTAGATAAAAAGCAAGACTCTGGTCTTGCTTTTCCCTGAGACATCTGCCTTTAGTGTTACAGTTGAATGCTACTTACTTCCTTGGTCGCAGGTTACTAAATGTTTGTGGTACCTCCCAACAAGAGCCCAGCACACATCAGAAGTGTTTGCCTTTTCTGCTATCTCATTACCAGCCTCTTGTTTTGACCATGTACAGCTAGAAGTGTTCTGTTCCAGTATATACTCTTTAAAGCACTTGATCTATTTTCTCATATTATCTCCTCTAGTACATACGTGTGTGAGAGGAGGAATGCCTCCCCTGCATTCTAAATTTGAATTATAATATGCATACACTGATTATACATGTGATTATAGGAAACTGAGGTAGCAGCAGGTAGGGACATTGAGTAACTTGAAAAGCAGCAGCCTGCAGGCAGTCCTTCCCTGAAGGAAATGTTCCGTACATGCGGATGGCCAAAAGTTATGTTGGAAGCAGTTCTTTTCTGTCCAATAAAATCTGGTTAAAACCGGTGGTAGAATAGGCAGCTGTGTGGGGACTGACATCTGCGTAATGCAGGGGAGACTTCTTGCAGTGAAACCTGACAGAGCCCTGGAAGAAAACAAGGTGGAGAGGCCAGTTGGTGCTTTGCAGAACTGTGATCTAGTTTCACTGTTCAGACAAAGCACTGCCTTATTATACAAGCAACTTGTAAGTACAACTAGAAACTTTGATCAGTTTGTTCCTATGACAGACTAGCAAGAACTTTCATGCTTTGGTCTCACAGCTGAGACCCATGTCTTACCTGACCTATTAACATCAGAATCATCCTTGCATATCTAAAGCAGTGAAGAAAGAAAGAAAAACTAGACTGATAGCAGACTTCGTGCCAGTACTGTTCTAGGATCCTGACCTCATGACAGTTTAGTTGTGCTGTGTGAGGTATCTTACCTGCGGGAGAGCTCTAATAGAAGTGATGCCACAACCTAAGAAGTTGCTTTCCATCTTGTAGCAGCCAACCCCCTGAAGTACTTTCAAGCATGCCAGCAGAGACAGCTCTCTCCGGAGTCCCACTATGGTAACAGGCGCAGCAGACAGGACGAGGCCAAGAGGCCAAAGCTGAATGATTGCACGTAGAGGCCAAGCTGTTTCCAAAGAGCATGGTGATTTGGCTGAGAAAGGTGCATTTTCACCACCCTCATCTAATTCCACTGCTGCTAAAGCAGCCATTTTTGCCTGATAAAGAGATGCAGAAAAAATATTGAGCAAAATTTAAAACTGCAAACAAAGAGTCTAAAACAAAGTATAAGGGATAAAGAGTAAGGGATAGGACACCGTGTGGGATGGTTTCCCATTTTATAGATAATTAAGAACAAATGAGCTCCCAAGCAGCTGTAGAAGACTGGCATCCATCTTCTGTGCTTCGGTTTAAGAAATGTTTTCTGAAGAACTGACAGTGTGGGTTTTGTACAGTTAGTTGGTAGGGGCAGATTATTTCTCAAACCACTACAAAGCTTCACTCGCTCAGCTTTAATCCTTTTCTGTACCAACATACTTACTTTCCATTTCCTCCATCCACGCTTAATGACATCTGCAGCCCTGCGCATCCTTTGGAAGCGGTTCCTGGCTAACCAGGAGCGAATAGCTGAAGATTTAATTAAAAGAAATCTAAGTACAAAGAATCTCAGCAGTTGTTGCAGACAATGTAAGAAAGATGGCACTTAAGCCTTCTCCATGTTCAATTAGCATATCCCTTCTTTAAATACTCACTGTGGCTGGAAATGTTACTAGTTACATTATGGCCAGCCACGCTCTCATCAAATTACCTGCTTGGATGAGTGTTGCAGACCTTCTCTCCTTTGCAAGTTTCTTCTGTTTAAATCTTCTCCAGCAACACTGAATGCAAAATGCTTTCTTGTTTAACACCTCTGCTCTTCTAGCTTCAAGCTGCTCTAGCTGTGTTGGGGATACAAACCTGCAGTTAATAGTCAGGGACAGAGCTGTGTTCTTAACCCTTCTACAATCATTTGCTGCTTGTCAGGTCCCAAGATTGCTTATATTTTAGAGATGACAGCATATCATTAATGCTTATTATACAGTTATATATAGTATGTAAGGTTAAAGTAGAAAGCATGTATATCTGAGGGGGAAAAAGTATTGTGGGGGAAAACACACTCCTGAAGTCACAGTAACAGCTGGCTTAAAATTAGCTCTACTGAGTGAGAGTTGCTTTTTGTTTTGTTTTGCTTGTCTGTTTTTTAAATAGCTACACCCTTCAGTGTGCAAGCTTTGTAAAAGTGCAGAAGTGCCTTCTTTGTATTTGTCAAAAAAGGATCTGCTTGGGCCTGTCAGAGGAGCTAAAGCTACCAGCAGAAGCCAGGGAAAGCTGTCATCCATGCTGAAACAGTGAGAACACCAGCAACACAAGTATATTCCAGAACTGTTAGCTGAGGAAATGGCACTCTTACCACAGAATTAGCCATAAATACTTTGGTTTTGCCACAATACACTGGAGTATTCTCTGATCCCTTCCCTGTGGGCTCAGCAGCACTTTGTCCTGTAACAACATTCTGCAGGATCTCAATGACAACAGAACGTGATGCTTTGTTGCCATCCACCGCTGCAGTCTCACCTGCAAATGAAGTATTGAAAAGAAGGTATTGCAAAATTTGGAAATCAAGACCAGGTTTGCCTTTACACTGAGACACCGCAGCCATCTGGGGGTGATGGCTGAGATATGACTAGTTCTAGCCACTAGGGAGAAATGCAGCTGCATAGATTTTGCCATGTGCTAACAACTAGAAAGATAGCTCAGTGTGTTTAAAGGAGGATGTGGTTTGGATGCTAATGCACTGTATTATTGCCTCCATTGTGGCATATTCAAGCTGGCATGGGTAACAAGTGGCATTTTGGGTGGATCTAGACAAGGAGAGCAGCGCAGCCCTAAGAAAACCTAATGAAATAATCGAAGCCCAAAACCATAGGGAACAAAGAGCAAAAAGCAAGGATTTAGACTCATAGCTTTAATGCACTGAGAGATGCAGGAACGAAAAACAAATGCTGTGCAATTCCACAGCTCTAACAGGGTATCAGAAGCAGCTAAGGGGAATCAGGGACACATGCTAAGGGTATGTTTATTGTGGCAGTAAGAAGTTACTAAAGTCATCTGTGGGACTTTTCTTTTTTTTCATGGTGAGACAAACAGGTTATCCAGATTAACCTATTTGGACACAGAGGAAGACTTAATTCAGACCTGTCCTTTAAGGAGACAGTATTGCTCAAGGCAATGCTGCATGAGTTTTCTGCATGCCTAATGCCAGAACTTGACAGTCATTGTATCTTTTCATCCTGGATACAGTTTGTTTTTCTGCTATAATTATTTGTGAGGAGATGAGAGCATTTTAAGGTGCTGCAAACAAATACAAACAACTCTTGCATACAGAAAGACATCTGGTGACTATCATTATGTTCATGGGACCAAGCTGATAGGAAAAGAAAAGCTTATCCTCATGTTTAGGAAATTGTTTTACTTTGTTTGCAGATTGTAACCCACTGAAGATAAAAAGGGGTACTAACCTATCACAATGAAGCATTCTAACTAGTGGGTTTATAATTAAGGGAGAAAGATATGGAATGTAAGTAATTTTCCAGACTGTACTTCATTGCTTCATTGTATTTCAGCAGGGTGAACGGATTTCCAGCCATTAAACATATCTGAAATGGGCTGGTCCTTACTGACCTTATTTCTCACCTACTGGTTACTGAAAAGAAAAAAAAATGATGAGCTCCTTTTTCAGGGGCTCACCAAAGACATTACCTGGTAGACTGGGTTATGTATTTAACATCCATCCTCGCTCTTGTTTAGAAAAAAGAATTGTGTACAGAAGTTTGTAACAGGCAGAAGAAGCAGCAGAATCCAGGTAAGCTAGAAGGTCAGTGCGTTTGGCAAGAAAACAAAGTGGGGGAAAAAAAGGAAGGATAAGGAATATAAGTGAAAAGGTAAGTGGTTTTCCAGTTTACTTAACTATTTCTAAATCAAATTATATTACATCATAACTAATTGCTTCTACCAAAGAGGAACATGGAAAAGCAGAAGTAAAGATGAAGGATTTGCTCTTTTTAAAAGAGCCCACCATGTGCATTAGGCAGATTAGAAACTGAAGTCAGTTTAGAGAGGTTAGAAATGTATTTTGAGAATAGCGGGTGTTTCGAAGTGCTGAATACAATTACTGCATCTGATCTATGTGATATCAACTTGGTGCAGGGACATTTTTATAGCAAAGGGACTATCTAAACAAACATACCTTTTTTCTTGGCAGTATGGCAGTTGCTTTTATCACATGCACTGGTTTTGCTGGACCTACGTGACTTTCTCAGTATTTCATAGCGATCGGTGAAACTTTGAAAAGAGATCCTGATAGACAAAAGTACAGTTAATACTAGGCTAGTATCATTTATTACTATCTGGTAAATAATCTGTCCTTTCAAGGGAAAAAATTGCAGAATGGCTTAAAAAAACCCAACTCATAGACTGCAAAAAGACTGAGGCCTATGTAGTCACCAACATGTAAGAAACTATAAAGTTACTGAAGGAATTCAGAGGGCTACCTGTTGCCCAGTAATAGACAAGGACTTTCAGCTGTGACAAAGACTAAGCAGGAATTATGCTTTTTAGATGAAAACAGTAAGCTTCACTCCAGTCAGTAACATGACTTATCTCAGGCCTTGTTCCCTCCATCATCTAAAGATGGCAAGAAAAGCCAGGAAGATCTCTGGCTATGATAGATACTGT